TTAAAAATAAATGAATAAAATTAAATAATAATTCTTAAAATTAATTTATCAGCTTTAACAAGGATAGACTGACATAAATGTTCAGTTTTGAGGGAGTTCTTTATGTTTATTTTGCTATTTCAGCTGAACCAGAGCTGTCATACTTGTTAATATCTTTAAAGGAACAGTGCAAGTTAGTATGTCCTTGGCATCTAACTGGACATACCTGGTACTTGTGTGCTCCTGCTATAGAGGTACTATAATAAACATAACTGTTTTGTTCATCATAAGCTTATTTTCTTTTTTTAACATCAGAGGGCCTGTGTTCATACCAGAGAGAAAGAGTGCGTGAACATTCCCCCCCACACACACACACACACACTGGGGCCTGATCGTGCTATAGTCTCTTTTTCTCCATTTCTCCATGCTTTCAGCAATCTGGGCATGTGTACACACACCTGGCATGTTTCTCAAGCCAGGATTTGAATCACTTTTTGTCACGTGGGATTCAGCTCCCTCTGTATAGTGCTTATCCTCTTGTGTCATGCAGCCTGCCCTGTCAACTTTAATGCTAAGTATGGGGAAGAGTGGTAAAAATATATTTTCTCCCTAGAATTTGTTATTAAAAATTTGCACATAAATGAACCCTGTTATTCCAACAATAGCATTGTAAATGGCACAGACATTGTTACTTTGTGCCTCCAAAGAAGAAATAGCTTCTCTCCCTCCTCTGTGGGAAGGGAAATATTTTTCCTTTTCTCCGTTTGAGTTGTCTTTCGGTATCATTCTTTTTTTCTGTGTCTCAGTTTTATTAGGATAAGTTGATGAAATAAAGGCTTTTTGTCATTTTCCACAAATCTGAAAATTTTTAGAAAACTTATGTCTAAAGTTTATCTCCACTGACCTTTCCCTCAGGGCTTTTCCCCTGTTACTTGTAGATCATCTTTGCTCTATTTCCTTAATAGTTATCATAAAAGTAAGTTGATCTTGTCTCAATTACTAGTAAATGTTCATTGCTCAATGGGTGGCTTCTACCGGGTGCTTATACCCACTCTTCCTCTTGAGCCAGAGAGGTCACGTGTTAGCCTAGGGGTACAGTGGTTTTTATTTGTGCTGGAAGTTTGGCTTCTCTAGTGTGTTTTGTGATGTCACCTACATATAATTATCGGCTTAATCATTAAGAGGAAAGAGCTGTGCTTCATACTATCGATCATTGATTTGTGTCATCCCATTGAACTTCATGTTCAATGGCAGTCCACACATTGATTTTCTCTTGAGTAAAGTGCTGTGATTCTGGAGTTTGGTGAACCATCACAATGTCTGTTCATCCATAATCGCATTTGGTGTGTTGCTACTAACTGATGTGAACATATTGCCACATTTCCTTTAAAGGGCTTAAAGTCGGGACCAGCAGGTGGCATTGTGGTTAAGGTGCTGGACACTCCCACATGGTCGACCACGGTTCAAGTCCCGGACCTGGCGGCTTTCTTTCTCCCCTTCCTCTCTCTCTCTCTCTGTGTGTGTGTCTCTCTCTGGTCAAATTAAAATAAATGAATGAATAAATAAAATTAAATAAATTATAATTTTTAAAAAGGGCTTAAAGTTTTTTTTTAAATATGGATGACGTTCATAACTTTCCTATTTCATAACATTCATATCTAAAACTTGTGATTTCTTTTTTAGCTTTCTAAAAACTCTGATTATATTTTAAATACTATATTCATATACTGTTTTTTAAGACTGGGTCTTACTGTGTTGCAGTCTTCCTGTCTCAGCCTCATTAGTAGTGTGCCTCCACATCCTTCAGGCTGGACCAGAATCACATGGGGCCTTTCAGGTGATCTCAGCCTCTAGAGCAGCAGCATCTTCGCAATGCACACTACTGCAGCTAGTCCTATGACTAGACCAATAAGGTGTGGTGGCTTGCTGGAAAGAGACAGACAACTTATCATGTGAAGTGGATATACCTTTACCTTGGGTAACCTGCCATTACACATTTTTATTTTTCTTCCTTTAATCTTGGATTGATTGGTGTGTCTAGCAGTGTAAGTAAATTTTTGCCCTCTCTGATCTATTTTTTTCTTTTAGGTTTTTGCCATAGGACACTTGTGGTCACAGAAGAGACAGAGGAGGTGAGGTCTCCTTTTGGGACCTTGAGCATGTGCACACATGCAACCAGCATGATTTTCAAGCTGCTAAATCCAGGGACTTGATTTGTGGTGGGACATATGGGAATCCAGTGGCTTAACCACCATGCCACCTGCTGGTCCCAGTCTCTGTTTTTAAAATAATTATATTGAGGCAGATGTCATGAGTACATCAAATCAGGGTGTATTCATATCTGATCTCCTAGTATAGTGGATTTAGTAAAATGTGTACTTCTAAAAAGTACATAGTTGTGCTATACATAGGTTAGGACCTTTTGCAGTTTCCTACCTTTTACCTAGGCTCTTTAAATAACAGGAGGGCATTAATGATGATAATGATTATAGAGGACACTTCATTTGGTAGTGAGGCACCAATTGAGCTATAGGTTTTGGTTTTGGGATTGAATGGAGTTAAGTATGCCTTACTAAACTCTGGTTCAGGAATTCTGCAATGAAACTTGTTAGGCAGATAGGAATGACTTTTGAATGTTCCTGCGCCTACACAGAACTTCGATGCCATCATCTTGTCATCTCTTGCTTAAAAGTACCCTTTAGTAAATCCTTTTTATGTTCCCATCTGTATCAAATAAGTACCTAAGTACCTTCTTTAGCTCTGTATCTTTTTTGGAGAGGTTTTTGCTATAGGGTGCGTGCGCTTGCCAGACAGATAGAGAGACAGACAGAGAGACAGAAAGCGAGAAATCACCCCCCAGGGGGGATGGCCACACCGCAATCCCTTCTCCTCCATTCTCCTCTCGGGATCTTGGGCACGCACGCACACATGCCCGGCGTGAGTTTAAGCCACCGGGTGTGGGACTCGGACCACGGTCAACTACGTGGGAGTCCAGCGACATAGCCATTATGCTAACTTCTGGTCCCAGCTCTGTATCTTTAAGAAAACAAACAGACTTTTTGTTTTCATTGTTGAGTGGGAGTGAGTGATGAAGTTGAGGAAAGAATATATATGTGGCATTGTGCAGTGATTGATCTAAGTTTGATTGTCAGATGTTTTTCGTAGTAACTAAAGACAAATGATTTCTCTTAATTCCTCAAGAATTAGGCTCCCATTTTTAGAGTTTCTTTTTTTTTTTAATTTAAAGAATTATTTATTTATTTATTTAATTTGTTGTTATTTTAATTTAACCAAAGAGAGAGAGAGGAGAAGAGAAACTAAGAAAGCAAGCTGCCAGCTCTGGGACTCGAATTACGGTTGGCCATGTGGGAATCCTGTGCCCTTAATGTTTTTAAAATAATTATATTGAGGCAGATGTCATGAGTACATCAAATCAGGGTGTATTCATATCTGATCTCCTAGTATAGTGGATTTAGTAAAATGTGTACTTCTAAAAAGTACATAGTTGTGCTATACATAGGTTAGGACCTTTTGCAGTTTCCTACCTTTTACCTAGGCTCTTTAAATAACAGGAGGGCATTAATGATGATAATGATTATAGAGGACACTTCATTTGGTAGTGAGGCACCAATTGAGCTATAGGTTTTGGTTTTGGGATTGAATGGAGTTAAGTATGCCTTACTAAACTCTGGTTCAGGAATTCTGCAATGAAACTTGTTAGGCAGATAGGAATGACTTTTGAATGTTCCTGCGCCTACACAGAACTTCGATGCCATCATCTTGTCATCTCTTGCTTAAAAGTACCCTTTAGTAAATCCTTTTTATGTTCCCATCTGTATCAAATAAGTACCTAAGTACCTTCTTTAGCTCTGTATCTTTTTTGGAGAGGTTTTTGCTATAGGGTGCGTGCGCTTGCCAGACAGATAGAGAGACAGACAGAGAGACAGAAAGCGAGAAATCACCCCCCAGGGGGGATGGCCACACCGCAATCCCTTCTCCTCCATTCTCCTCTCGGGATCTTGGGCACGCACGCACACATGCCCGGCGTGAGTTTAAGCCACCGGGTGTGGGACTCGGACCACGGTCAACTACGTGGGAGTCCAGCGACATAGCCATTATGCTAACTTCTGGTCCCAGCTCTGTATCTTTAAGAAAACAAACAGACTTTTTGTTTTCATTGTTGAGTGGGAGTGAGTGATGAAGTTGAGGAAAGAATATATATGTGGCATTGTGCAGTGATTGATCTAAGTTTGATTGTCAGATGTTTTTCGTAGTAACTAAAGACAAATGATTTCTCTTAATTCCTCAAGAATTAGGCTCCCATTTTTAGAGTTTCTTTTTTTTTTAATTTAAAGAATTATTTATTTATTTATTTAATTTGTTGTTATTTTAATTTAACCAAAGAGAGAGAGAGGAGAAGAGAAACTAAGAAAGCAAGCTGCCAGCTCTGGGACTCGAATTACGGTTGGCCATGTGGGAATCCTGTGCCCTTAATCACCACACCACCTGCCAGCCCCTAAAGTTTCTTTATTAATTAGGAATAGAACATTTTACCCTTATATTACTTAAGACTTTTGGTTATGAAAGTGTTCTCAGTGGCTAACACTATTAGTTGGCAATAGTTTCCTAAGTCTAACATTCTGAAGAATTCTGTATACTTAGGTCTTGTTATTTGTCATTTATTGCAGAAGGTATTCGTTCTTTATTAGAAATTAGCATTAATTTCTTAGCAAAATAGCAATTAATTACTTTTGCAGGTTAAAAATCATTCCAAATTTTAGCTTTGAATATTTGCTAGTCAGTTTTTTTAATCAGTAATAATATTTTCTTAGAAGGAAAATATTGAGTATCTTGCCAGTGTTACTCCTTAAAGAAGTATTTTATAGGTTTAACATGAAACCTTTTTTACTTACGTGATTCAAGTTATCATTTTAGACCGTAAATTTGAGCTGAAATTTGAATTATAGAAAATTAATATGTGAAATTGAAAGTTTATGAAATACTCTCTGCATTTTGTTTAGACCAGCATGTTTTGGAAATTTGATCTTCACTCATCATCCCACATAGACACACTTCTAGAAAGAGAAGATGTAACACTGAAGGAATTAATGGATGAGGAAGATGTTTTACAGGAGTGTAAAGCTCAGAACCGCAAACTTATAGAGTTTCTGTTAAAAGCAGAATGTCTCGAAGATTTAGTTTCATTCATTATAGAAGAACCACCTCAAGACATGGATGAAAAGATCAGATACAAGTAAGAAAATTCAATCTTCTCTTTAGGGTGGGACTAACGTGAAGTGGGGGAAAATATAGTTTTGTTGTCCTAGAATTCCCTAGTGCTTCTATGGCTATTTACATGAGGTCAAGATGGTCAAGAATGATAGGCTTAGTGGCAGACGTAATCTCTTTTAGAAGAAGAGTTTGAAAATTAGTGTTCTAAATTTCAGTTAAATGGTTGTTTGGAAAGGCAACGCACTTTATAAACGTAGTGACAAATTTCTTAAAATAATAAGACAATTTATGTATTTTCTCTACTTTGCAAATAAGAGGGTAGAGCTTATGTATCTTATGAACTATGCTGTCAGATATCCCAGATCATGGAGCAGGTCTTAGTCAGAACTTGAGTTATGAAAAACATAAGCTGATACAGTACATTCTGACTTTTTGTTAATTGCAAATAAGGATATGGGTATTGGTGAACATTAGTGTAGCTAAATTTAAGTAGGTAATACCATGGGAAACTACAGTGGATTTATCTCCTTAGCACTCATTTAATCTGTCTACAAGCAGAACTACAGTTCAGTGAGAATCCTGTATTACAATCTTATATAATGTTTTTCATTCAAGCCCCTGGAAACTTTTTGTGAGTACATTACAGGTATTTAAAGTATTGAGGTTTAAGTTAATACTTTTTCCATACCCAGCTTTATTGAAATAGTTGCTTCTTTTTTTCCCTGAAAAAGTGAGTACAACTTCAGTAACAAAAATAATAATGCATTAAATAAACAATGGAGTAGGAAAAATTAGATTTTCAATAGACTCTTTTGCCTTTTCCCCCCATCTGACCTTTTCAGATGTCTTTTTATTTCTCTTGGGGAGAACTATGCTGTCAGGGAAATAATACTTGTTAATACTTTCAAGTTGCTGGTGGCTTGGATCTTCAAGGATGTCATTTTCTCTGCCAGCCATTAAGATTGACAGCTTGCATTTGGTAAAGCAGTGCTAGGAAAAAAAAAAGAGAAGAAAATCTGGCAGCAGAAATAGTAATGTGCTTCTATCTTCCAAAAAATAGACATTTGCTACTTTGGAATTTCCTCCACAGTAAACTGGTGTGTGGGTTGGTGCTGATTGACTTGGATCCGAACCCTCCTTGGAGGTGGTATGGTGTGGGCCAGCGAGTATGAGCTTTGCGTCAAGCCCACCTAGGAGGAGTGTAGTCACCCTCTCCTGCTAGCACTGAGAACTTGAGCAATGACTTATCCTTCTTGGTCTGCTTCCTTACATGTTGACTTAAGCTAATAATTCTTTAAATAGGGAAAAGTAGGCTTACCTTATATGAAGTGCTAAGTTTACCAAAAAGAAATGGTGACCTTTTTCTCCTTGTTATTTTTATTTATGTACTTTATTTTTGAGAGATTTTTGCTATAAGGTAGTGGCTTGCCAGAATACTCCAGGAAGATGACCATGCCATAATCCCTTCTCCTTCATTCTCCTCTGAGGATTTTGGGCACACATGCACCTGGGCCCAACATCAGTTTAAGCTGCCGGGTCTAGAACTTGGTCTGCGATAGACTACTTGGGAGTCCAGCTACATTAACCATTATGCCATCTGCTGGTCCCTCCTCCCTGTTATAACACAGCTTGGCAGTTATATTGCTTTCCCAGTGGTTTTTGTGTGTGTGTGAGTGTGTGTGTGTGTGTGTGTGTGTGTGTGTGTGTACTTTCGAAGCTGCAAGAGCAAATGTGGATTTCTGTATACATGACCTTCTAGGTGGCATCGTGAAGGAGCAGGACTCAAGTTAGAGCATTTTTCTGCCTTGATGTATCTGGCTGAGCAGAGCCATCAGCTGTATGTAATGTATCTTGGATGACTCAGTCACCTAGATTAGCATAGAGTGCTTTTTTCCCCCCAAATTTTATTTATTTCTTCTGAGAGAGAGATACAGAGATAGCACTCATGGTAGGGTCTTAATGCTATAATTCACTCCCTAGCCTCATCCAGACTGGATTATGGGCATATACTTGCCCAGGGTACTCAGGAGGTCTCTGTCTACAAACTGACAACCTTTCCATGTGGGTCTGCCTTGTAGAATGACACATTTTAACTTGTACATCAACTGTGTAGCCCCCAAGAATGGTTTTTCAGATGGGATCTGAAAGCTTTTTGGGGTTAAGAGTGACTGCAGTTATCTGAGGAAGTTCAGATTAGGATTTTATAGTTTCGAGATATTAGAGTGCTTGCTGTATTGGTATGAACCAGAGTATAAAGTAAACCCGTCATTTCTCAGATAAATCCTCTGGAGAAAAATAAACCAAAGAAGGTCAGACAAGGACTGCTGAAAGTAGTGGGTAAGAGGAACCAGCTTGGAGAGGGCCTCTAAATTAAGAGGACACCATTTGGTTGGGACAGTACAGGGAATGAGGGGATTGTCCTATGAGTATGTGGCAAAGAATGTCCAGCAGAAGGAGCAGCAAGTGTAGAAGACCTAAAGTATACCCCAGGAACAGCAGGGCAGCCAGAGAAGAGGAAGCATCAAGAATGAGGAGGAGAAAAGGCTGCCTAGAGGTAGGCCTCATAGGTCCTTGTAGGCTTATTCAGGATTTTGCTTTATTTGGAATGAGAAGGGAAGCCATTGAGGGGTTTTGAGTAGTGGATGCCATAGCCTAACTTTGTTTTAGGATCAGTCTGCCTGCTCTGTGGATATTGATCATAGGAAAACAGGAGTAAAAGTGGACACGTCAATTAGAAGGTTGCAGTGATGAGCAAAGAGAAGATCTTAGTGGATCTAGCTGGTGAGAAACAGCTTCCAGTTGTATTAGATGAGCTTACAACTGAAGGGGGTTCCTCATAGGTGTGGAGTAGGAGAGAATAAGTCAAGAGGGATTATGGGATTTGGCCTGGACAGTCAAGGGGATGAGATGGGTTTATGGCTCTGAAGATGAATTTAAGAAGAATAGATCAGAAGTTTGGTTTTGGCCCTGTCATGATTGAGGTTCCTGTTAGACATCAAGTGGAGGTGAGTAGTAGCAGCAAGGGGATGGGAGATATGTAAAGCCATGAGGCTAGCTAACATCATCTACGGAGCAGATAAAGGTGGAAGGCAAGTCCAGAGACTGAGATGGAGACTTTAGCACCAGCGTTTCACAAAGGGACCCGGGAGGGGTTAGTCACAAGAGGAGAACCAGAAGAGACTGCTCCCCTAAGAGTCAAGGGAGAATAGGCTTCAGGAAGGAGAAACAGTGAGTCAAAGGCTATTTATTGTTCACATGAAATCACAGAATTTGCTACATGAACATTATGGTCCCCATGGGTACAGGTTCTTTGGACACTGAAATGAAAACCTGGTGAGAAGGCCTTTGAGGAGGAATTGGAGAAAAGTAGAGACAACTTTTCCAAATAATTTCCTTTAACTGAAGCAGAAAGAGGAAGTGGTAGCTAGAGGCATCTATGGAGTCAGAAGAACTGCAGAGTTTGCTGTGGTGTTTTGGGGTTTTTTTTCTCCCTAAGTGGAGGAAATGGTGGTCTGCTGGCAAGACTGCCGTAGTACAGAGGAAATGGTACTTGCATGAGGGAGCCAGCTGTCTAGTGAGTGCTGTGCTTCAGTAGATGGTAAGGGATGCTGTCGAGAGGGTGAGTAGAGAGTGCCTTCAGGAGCAAGAAGTACTCCCATTTAGAGGGGAGGAAGGGCTTAGGTAGGCCTGGGTGCAGCAGGGTTCAATTTTCTTCCAGAGTTCAGTATGCAGTGGGGTGCTATAGGAGGAGGGGTCTTACTTAGAGCTGGGACAGAGAGTATCTTCAGGTGCTTTAGAAGCTTGTCGAATCTTTTTTTTTTTTTTTAAGAATTATTTTTATTTAGGTTTATTTATTTTAATTTGACCAGAGAGGGACAGAATGAGAGAAAAGAGAAAGTGAGAAAGTAAGCCACCAATCAGGGACTCGAACTGCGATTGGCCACGTGGGAGTCCAACACCTTTAACCACCATGCCACCTGCCAACCCTGAAGCTTATTGAATCTTAAGGAGGAAGAGAGAGGGGTCTCAGCTTGACCCAGAACTCTGAACGTTTTGTATGAATTTTAGACCATATGATCTGTCCTTCTTGAGCTAGATTCTGCCTCCATGTTACCTGTGCAGTGAAAACTAAAAAGATGTCCATGCCCTGTCCTGGACTTCCTGTGTTAAAATTTAGAGAATGCATCATGCATTTGATTTGCAGCCAGGGTGGATCTTTATTTGCGAGTCATTTCCAGATTAGAACAATTGAGACAGCGTGTCCCCTCAACTCCCACAGCAGCATTGTCCTATAGTAAAAAATAAAGAGGAATAAAAACAGTTATTCACTAATTTTTTTTTTATTGTTGTATGACAAGCCATCTTGCTAGCATTTTGTATATATGGGCTAAGCATCCTTAATTCAAAAATCAAAAATCCAACATGCTCCAAAATCTGAAATCTTTTAGGCATCGATATAATGCCACAGTGGCACATTCCACACCTAACCTTATGTGTTGGGTTACAGTCTATAAAGTCTATACAGCATTTTGTATAGACTGTAACCATATAATCCAAAAATACTGGATTTGGTTAACCCTCAGGCTGTCCAAGGGGATAGACTTGGGACCTATCCCCAAGATGTCTCATTATGTATATGCAGGTATTCAGACTCCAAAATCAAAAACCTGAAATCCAAAACATTTCTGGTCTCATGCATTTCAGATACAGGATACTTAATCTCTATTACCCTCCTCTACAGACTAGTATTACAGAGTTATAAAGTGTGACCAAGAGAGTTTAAATAACTTGCTCAAGGTTATTCAGCTTGTAAGTTTATAGCCTAGATAATGTGACATTATTAGTAGCTGCACTATAACCATTACAGAATCCTGTCCCTGGGATAATTGTTACTTTATTGAAGTTTATATTATGGCATCTTTGGACCCAAGTATTATAAGAAATGAGGAAGACTAAGCCTTAAACTTCCAGAAGACAGCATTTGATAATATGAGCCTCACCTTCCAGGTCTGTTTTCTTCCTTTTTAGTCTGTTTCCCATTAAGGTTCATTTTGGGACATTTTCATGCTGTTCAGTCTTCCAATCTTACACCTCTGTCTTAGATGGTGTGACTTTCTGGTGTGTTGCCAGTTGTCTCTTTGAGATAGGGATCTCAAAACCGGCAGCTGCTTGCTTCTTTTGGGTATCTCCAGGTGTGTCATACATGTTCTAGTCCACAGTCTTCACCTCTCTCTCTTGTCATATAGCTGCTTTTGTCTCCTTTGTCACCTACCTGTCCTTAACAGCATTTGAACTTACCACTCCTGATGGCTAGCTGGAGTATAGATCCTAGCTACCCAAGAGGAGGAAAATATAAAAGCAGAGAAGTAAACTGTGGGTCAGATAGCATATTGTCTGAGTGGACCTTGCTTGGAATCTTCATTTGTTACTATTGAAAACAGATGAGAAATAGTTTGTGGTGATGGGAGTGAAGAAAATAGATCTGCTGCCATCTTTTTTTTTTTAGAATTATTTTTCTTATCTTTATTTATTTATTTAAATTTGGCCAGAGAGGGACAGAGTGAGAGGCAGAGTGAGGGGAAAAGTGAGAAAGCAAGCCACCAGGTTTGGGACCCTGACTGCAGTCCTCCATGTGGGAGTCCAGTGCCCCTAACCAGCACATCACCTGTCAGCCCCTGCTGCCATCTTTCAGAGAGAAATTGCTCTGGTTGTTGGAATCAGTCATGCTTTAGAGGGTGCAGATATTTCTAAAGCTGTAGAGTCTATTTAAGAGCTGCTTATTACATTCAGAGCAGTTATCATTTTGCCTTCCATGGGCCCATATAGTTCAGGAGTGAGATTGTAATGAAAACTGACAGTGGGGTGTTTTCCTGTCTGTACTCCACAGTGGGTGCTGGAAGCCTTGCATGGAAGCACATTTTTTATATATATAGCTTCCCTGAGTAACTACTCAAGCTGCAATCTTTTTTTTTAGTATGATATTTTTAATCTCTTAAGATGTAATATAGACTGAACACTTGATAAGCTCCCCAACACAACTTTGTAGTACCATTTACAGCCCCTCTAAAAATAAACGCAGCTAGTCCAGGTACCTACAGTGTGCCTTGAGTTAATACAAGGTGCTGTGTGGAGAAAATGCACTTTCCTGGAAACCAGCAGCCTGCATAGTCATCTTGCATGCAGCTTCCCATGTCAGTGTAGACTGCATGTCTAGCCTAGTGACTTTTACCTCTGACCTCTCTCTTCAGTTAGAATTGAGAAGGCCCATACCCTGCAGCATGACCTCCCTTGGCTCCTAAGTCCTAGGTATACTCTAGTTCCATTGAGAGAAATGTGTTTATTTTAAAGCTTGTTTTAAAAACAATTTTTAGACAATGTATAAAATTTATTTTAATCTAGAATTAAGCCAGAATGGATTGAAATGATTTTAAAATTCCCAATAGATGATTTTGTTGTTTTTACAAAAGTTTAGGAAGCCTTCCTGATTTGTATTTTACTTTATGTAATTAAACTGTTAACATAGATGATGATGTAAGTATCCTGTTCTTCTAGGTATCCAAATATATCTTGTGAGTTGCTCACTTCTGATGTCTCCCAGATGAATGATAGACTGGGAGAAGATGAATCCTTGCTAATGAAATTATATAGCTTCCTCCTAAACGATTCCCCCTTGAACCCACTTCTTGCCAGTTTCTTCAGCAAGGTGCTAAGTATTCTTATCAGCAGAAAACCAGAACAGGTAAATATTGTTTTCCAAAAGGTAAGTATTAGGGCTGACCTGAGATGGTTCCCCAGTAATGTTGCTTTAGCTTTCAAGTTTGCCTTAAGCCTAGGCTTTATAAGAAAGTATATTTTAAACCTTAGACATTCTAAGCACTGAGTTACACTGATTTATACACCTTTTTTTTTTGAAGTGCCGCAGATCTTAATTTGTTAGAATGCTTCACTTTCCTCTTTTGATGAATACTTAGAAGTAGGAGAATATTGGCAGCCATTTGTGAAGATAGCAACATGGTATGGGTTGAATGTGTGAGTGGAATGTTAGTGACTTTTGGCTACCAAACAAGTGCTTTGTTTTTGTTTTCTCCTCACTAATTATCATAAATGATACTTAAATCAAAAAGCTTTCCCACAAATATAATTGATGATTCATTTGTACAGTGACCACTCTATTTTGATTTTGTTCAAAAACTTAAATATTTAACTTGAGAAGTCTGAGTATAGGCTGTCATATGCATATGTAGTTCTGCTGTTCCTGTCCAGCATTGCTTGACAGAAATTCATATTTTACTCTTATGATGATGTCTCCCTCCTCTGTTTCATTTTATTTTGTTCTCAGTTCATATGTACTTGGGAAGTTAATACAGAGTAGATAGAAATTAATTTCCCAAGTATCTCTTATTTGGTTCTCCAAATATGGTCCCTGAACCAGCACCATCATTATCACCTGAGAATTTGTTAGAAATGCATATTCTTATGTCCTACCCCAGACCCACTAAATCATAAACTCTGGGGGTGGAGCCCAGCAATTTTGGTTTTTAGCTAGACTTACAACATAACAGACTGATGTATGCTAAAATTTGAGATCCACTGCTCTAGTGGATATTGGTATGAAAAAGATCTGCTTGCGAGGAAATTATAATCCATTTATGACAACAGGCATCCAAGGAGTAATTATTGGAGCCTCGGATGATCAAGTACAAAGTATAACAGACTTTTGCAACAAAGCAAAGTTGTGATAATATGGGTGCAAGAGGTCAGGCCAGTTGGGCCTGGCACTGAAAGACAGACTTCAGGTGACCCATCCTTGGAATCCACAAACATGGAGAGAGTGGAACTATTTTGGGCCCAGTATGACCTGTCCTTTGTATGCAAAAGCAGAGTAAATTAGTTTCATTTTAGAAACACAGTGTCATTCCTTCGTCCTTGAGTCGGGTAACCTTCCTAAGTGTATTGGAAATAATAATTCTTTTCTCTTAGGTACTAATCTCCTAATCATGATTATGCTAATAAGGATTGTCTCCCTTCCCTGCTTTCTGATTAGAAGTAAAAGTGCTGCTGGCAGTTTTTGTAGAGTATAAGCATCATATCATCCTCATGTTACCACTCAAGTATATAAGATGTTTGTAGCCATTATCGAGATATTATACTTTATTATACTTTTCCTCCTCATTTCTTTGCTATTGGAACCGAAATTTGTAAGTCTAGCTGTAGGGCATTGTCAGTGTTGCACGATTTAGCATTTTAACAGTGTCATCCATGGTACAGGTCTTTGCTGTGCTGTACACAGCCTTGGCTGGAGTTTGTGTCTTTGGGTCCAGTGTTTCTGCTACCGAATAGTGAAGTGTTTTGGTCACCTGTGACTTTTTCTTCTTCTTACTCCTATTATCTTTTTAAAAAACTTGAGTGGATTATATATTACTGCTTGAAGGTTTATATCACAGTGTTTAACGTCATTGTTGGGAGAAGCAATGTGTGTTAGTTAATCCTGTATTTACACCTAATTATGTGAAGCAATTTTAGTTGTCATCTCTGGTTACTAGACTTTTTCATGTGGGATAATGGAAGGATTATGGCTTTTGCGGCATACAAATAAATCTAAGTTTAAATCCCAAGGCAGCCACAATTTTAGCTCTGAGCCTTGGTTTTTTTCATCTGTAACCTTGAGATCTTCAGTCCCTACCTCCTAGGGCCTTTGAGAGTCTTCAGTGTGCTGTTAACAGCAGCTGCCACACTGTGCTGCTCCTGGGCCTTGGGGTATTTGAGTAGATGACATCTACACATGAATAGAAGTCAGAAGGCACACAGGCTGGACCAAGGTGGTCTTCCAGTTCAAAAGAGACCCAATGACAGAGTTCTAATTTTTATTACTGTTTTCATATTGCCTTATTGTATATATATCAGCCTTTTCTTCTACCAGCCACCTGTCTTTTGTTAATCTAATCAGATAAATTGCGGAAATGAAAATGCAGATGTGATGGTTGTATAGCAGGTGGGTTAGTTACTTTGAAGTAGAAATCTTTATCTGTTGAGGTTTTTTTTCCTCACTTGCTATAGATTAAGATTTTTGAATATACTGCGTTTTAGTGCAAAGTCTAAATGGACATGCTTTTATGTTTATAAACTATAAAATGGTATATACTCTCTTCCTCTTTATGGTATATTTTTTATTTCTATTCTTTGAGAATAATGAAAGCAAATAGAAAAAGATTCTATTATGTTATATTTGTATTAGGGAATGTAAATTAATTTGGGAGCTTTTTTTTTTTTTTCTCTAAGGGTTTTTGAATATTGTAACTATTAGCCAGGCTTTCCATTTGGACATCTTATTGCTAATTCAGCATTTGCCATTTCTCACCCTGAAGAATTGGGATTTTAAATGGGGTGTGGGTCAGCATTTAAAACCTGAAATTTATAGTTCCCAAGTTACATGTCTTTTCAGTTTTTGATCTGTTCTCCTCTAGATTGTCGATTTCCTAAAGAAGAAACGTGATTTTGTAGACCTTATCATAAAGCATATAGGAACCTCTGCTATCATGGATTTGTTGCTCAGGCTCCTAACGTGTATTGAGCCTCCACAGCCCAGGCAAGATGTGCTGAATGTGAGTAGAATTCTGACTTGTTGACTGGGATTGGGGTGCTTGCATGTGAGCCAGCTAGTTTGCTATGTGCTGGGAGAGGTTCCATGGGATTAGGGTTGGTAGCAGAGGGTTGTCTGGGGTTCAGAGAGAAGAGTGGGAAAGGAAGATTATCTTGGGATAGAAAAAGATTCAGATTTTGCAAGACTAGGATTCTTGTGGATGTGCACATCCTGGTGAATGGGATGTGTCATTCTGAGTGATTCTCCCTCTTTGCTGGTTTGTTTTTTGTAGGAGTGGCAAGGTAGAATGGGATGAAGATTTGTCCAAAGCTGAATCTGGTAGTTAAGGCAGAAGTAAGGAGGTTGGGAGCTCTAAGGGTAATAAGAGTGTGCTACAAAGCTTCTTTCTTGAGAAGACAACTACATTCTTCAGGGCTGTCTCTGAAAGTCAAAATGGAGAGGAATAGATATTTCCAAGGATCTAGGCTTCATAATAACTCTCTTCTCATGCCTGCCTTAGGCGCATTGGATAATAGGGAGAATGGAGTTTATTTCAAAAATGACATTTCAAAATGTGGACCATTGGTGATTTTGGGATGCATGTCTCTTGAATAGATGTCTTAGGTGGGATTTGGGTGGGAAGAAGAGAGGGTGGGGGTAACCTGAAAATAAGGTTCCTCCCAAGCTCTTGTGCCTCCTGTCATTGTTTTCTTTCTCTTCTTTTCTCCTTTCCCCCTCTCTGTGTTCCAATCTAGTCCTCAATCCATTTCTTTTTTTTTGGAGGGGGCAGGTTTTTGCTATAGGGCGCGTGAGCTCGCCAGAAAGACAGAGAGAGACAGAGAGACAGAAAGCGAGAAATCACCCCCCCAGAGGGGATGGCCACGCCACAATCCCTTCTCCTCTCGGGAAACTGGGCACACACGCACACGCGCCTGGCATGAGTTTAAGCCACTGGGTCCAGGACTCAAAACACTGTCAACTACGTGGGAACCTCTGCTATCATGGATTTGTTGCTCAGGCTCCTAACGTGTATTGAGCCTCCACAGCCCAGGCAAGATGTGCTGAATGTGAGTAGAATTCTGACTTGTTGACTGGGATTGGGGTGCTTGCATGTGAGCCAGCTAGTTTGCTATGTGCTGGGAGAGGTTCCATGGGATTAGGGTTGGTAGCAGAGGGTTGTCTGGGGTTCAGAGAGAAGAGTGGGAAAGGAAGATTATCTTGGGATAGAAAAAGATTCAGATTTTGCAAGACTAGGATTCTTGTGGATGTGCACATCCTGGTGAATGGGATGTGTCATTCTGAGTGATTCTCCCTCTTTGCTGGTTTGTTTTTTGTAGGAGTGGCAAGGTAGAATGGGATGAAGATTTGTCCAAAGCTGAATCTGGTAGTTAAGGCAGAAGTAAGGAGGTTGGGAGCTCTAAGGGTAATAAGAGTGTGCTACAAAGCTTCTTTCTTGAGAAGACAACTACATTCTTCAGGGCTGTCTCTGAAAGTCAAAATGGAGAGGAATAGATATTTCCAAGGATCTAGGCTTCATAATAACTCTCTTCTCATGCCTGCCTTAGGCGCATTGGATAATAGGGAGAATGGAGTTTATTTCAAAAATGACATTTCAAAATGTGGACCATTGGTGATTTTGGGATGCATGTCTCTTGAATAGATGTCTTAGGTGGGATTTGGGTGGGAAGAAGAGAGGGTGGGGGTAACCTGAAAATAAGGTTCCTCCCAAGCTCTTGTGCCTCCTGTCATTGTTTTCTTTCTCTTCTTTTCTCCTTTCCCCCTCTCTGTGTTCCAATCTAGTCCTCAATCCATTTCTTTTTTTTTGGAGGGGGCAGGTTTTTGCTATAGGGCGCGTGAGCTCGCCAGAAAGACAGAGAGAGACAGAGAGACAGAAAGCGAGAAATCACCCCCCCAGAGGGGATGGCCACGCCACAATCCCTTCTCCTCTCGGGAAACTGGGCACACACGCACACGCGCCTGGCATGAGTTTAAGCCACTGGGTCCAGGACTCAAAACACTGTCAACTACGTGGGGGTCCAGCGACACAGCCATTACGCCATCTGTTATTCCCATAGATTTTTCTTTTCTTTTGATGTCCTGTCTAGGTAGTGAGCTCTCCTGCTTATTATGGTGTTACAGTTCCTGATGGAACCAATATTAAGCCAGCTTTCCTCCTCCCGCCCCCATTCTAATCCCTTCATATTTTCATTCAATACAGCATTTCATATATAGATGATACTATTGCTTTGTTAGTATGTGATAGGGCAGATAAACTATGCTTCTGTGGGAACTCCCTCATCATTCCCCCCCTCATATTTTCTGTAGTAGTTTTGCTTTTGGAATCTGAAAGTCCCTTTTTGATCTTCCTGTGTTTTTTCTTAACTCAGTGGCTTAATACCAAATATTGCTCTTAGAAATCTTTCCGAAGCTCTGAACAAATGTTCTGTTATAGAAAATGTATAAATTCCATCTTTCTTAATCCCCACTTTATTAATAGCCACAATACTGGCCCTTTTAATGCCAAATGTATGGGAGTTACCCCTAGCAAAGGAACTGTTGTATAGAATTTATTATGTGGGTATTATAATTTGGGGGAGTTGGTACTATTGGCCACTGTTAAAATAATATATTCACTGGCATTTTCCTTGGGGAACTTTTAATTTTCTGTAGTGTTCAAAGTCCAGAGAAACCTGTAACATTCTACTTAAAATGTGATGGATATTTCCAAGTATGTTAATCTTCATTGGGGCTTGAACAAGAGCCACTCATTGCTATGATTACTTCTACAATATGTTTTACAGTGGTTAAATGAGGAGAAAATTATCCAGAGGCTTGTGGAAATAGTTCATCCATCGCAAGAAGAAGATGTAAGTTTCTCTTGTGTGACTATAAGCCTGATTTTTTTTTTTTTTTTTTAAGTTTTGTGTTTATTTGGGCACAGAACATACTTGTGCTAGATGATCAGAGTAGATAGGTAGAATCTGGCATTCTCAGAAGTTGGTAGTTGTCTAAATAATACTATATTTGCTGGTAAGAAAAAAAAAAAAAACCTAAAAATGTGAACTAGCAGGCCTTGGTTCTAGCACCTTCTCCTTTCCAGAGGTGGGGTTCCATGGCTGAAACTGCCTTTGTTATAAACATCTCCCATTGATTCCTCCTTTTTTTAAATATCTACCTTTAGTCCAAATGATGTGGTCACATCTGCATTAGTTTATCTAGCATGGCTAAAGCTTGCAGGCAGCCTAGCAGAATCTTGGTTATCATTGAACTCCTGCTGTGACTTCTTGTACTTACTAACCTTAGCTTTTAGGTTCTGACAGGTTTGGCCTAGGTGCTAAAGGCAGACTTGGCAATTACAATGAAGCTTGATTTGGAGTTTGCAAGTTGAGCTCTGAGCTGAGGGGATGCCTGTCAGGACTAGTAGAGTAGAAGAGATCTGCATGATCACTACCTTTACTATCAGGCCATGCCATAGGAAATTGCCAGCAGGAAACCATTTTTACTCACAGACATGACACTTCTATATGGTTCAACCTAGTATCTGTGAAGGAGCTGGATTAAGGGTAATAACAGAGTCTGGGTATCTCCTTGTCAGCTTATAGGTACAAGTTAGATGGGAGAGTGAGCACTGGGCTGCACAGTCTGAGAGGTATGCAGCCAGAGGATAGTTTGTTTCTCATAGGGGCATTTTCTGTAGAGGTAGATCTTATCCCTTCCACACTGGTCCATTAAAACTTTTCGGTACCTGGAATTTATCGAAAACAGACTTTTCAAGAATCCCCTATTAAAAGAGCTGTCAGTTTCCATTATCCCCCTTTGGGATAGTGCAGTACGTGCTTACTTGCAGTAGTTGTTACTGTCACGAGAGTTGACATTTTGTAGGCATATCAGCATATATTTATGTTGAATGCTGAAGGAAGTGCTAGAGTGCAAGAACCACTTAGAAGGAGCTGTCTGGTGGGGTGATGAGCCCTGCCCCATAGGTGAGGGAACACACTCATTCTGGGACGTTTCCCGTGTTGGAAGTGTGGCCAGTGTATGCCAGAGAAAATGATGGCAACAGCATGACCATTTACAGGGAGTGATTTCCGTGAATGGAGCTTTTTCTTCATTAGGTTCATGTTCTTTAGCAGAAGAACTTGATCAGCAGGGTATTTTACCTGCCCCCAGGGCCCAGGAGAAATAGATAAAGAAGCCCAATTCAACAAGTGTTTATTTATAGTAGGACTAAACATTGTTTACATTAGCACCTTCCCCACTTGACTTACTGAATTGTTAAATTTGTCTTTTGGACAGTCCTATTGATACTTCTATTTTGTGTTCAGTGATAAATTACATGTTGTACTGACCAATTTGTATTTGTTAAGGCAATGTTAGGCTTCTAACTCCATTCAGCGAGTTTGGATATCACAGTGTTTATGGCCATCTCTGCTGGAATATGAGAACCCATTGCTTGCTCTCAGAGTTATGCTTGGTTTCACATGCCAGTTCAGTCACTGAGATTTTAGAGCTTTCCTGTAAGGTAAATACACTGTGCACTGGGAGAAGGTTTAATGTTTCTTATTTGGTATCTTCTTATTGGTATCTGTGCTGGTAAAGTATATTTAAGGGATATATTTTATGCAGGTATTCAATTGCGGAAATTTCTATCTTGTCAGAACTTCGATCTTACCCCTCTATACATAGCTGTATATACTATACAATATTGTAAAACTCATTAGCCTAACAAAATAAAATAATCATAATGTTGTTTATTTTGGACTTGACTTTTTGCTCACTAAAGCTTATGGTCAGTGTTGATTTGTATATTTCTTAAGCAATTTTCTCATTCATTTTTAAAATTTTAAGTTTAACTTCTAACATGTTTTATAGTTAAAATTGTATTTTTTTTCCTTTAGCGACATTCAAATGCATCACAGTCACTTTGTGAAATTGTTCGCCTGAGCAGAGACCAGATGTTGCAAATTCAGAACAGTACAGAACCAGATCCCCTGCTTGCCACTCTAGAAAAGTATGTTCAAAACTCTGTTCTTGTTCTGTTTTTATATTGATGCTGTTCGATACATCGTGAGTACTGGTAAGATCAAGATCTTGGAAAATAACCTTGGGAAGGTGAGAAGGTAGGAAAACCTGCTGCTTTTTTGTCAGCCATTTATCATGCACAGTGGAGATCGACAGGATAGGAAGGTAAATGAATGGCATTAATATGTAGGCTTTGAACTTTCCAAATATTAGTAAAATTAGATTTTTTTTTTAAGAGAGATTTTTGCTATAGGTCACATGATGTGCTCTCCAGAAAGACAAAGCAAGAAATCACTCCCCCCCCCAGGGGGGCTGGCATGCCACAGTCTCTCTTCCACTTTCCTCTCGGGATCTTGGGCACACACACACACACATGCCTGGTGTGAATTTTAAGCTGCTGGATCTGGAACTCAAACCTTGGTTTACTACATGGAAGTCTAGCAGTGTAACCATTATGCCATCTACTCAGTAAAGTTAAAATTCTGTAGCGCCATCTATAGATGTGATTGTCACATCATAATTGGAGTCACTGCCTTCAAGGGTCTTTTGATGGGGAATTGTCTTTCATAAGTACCAGTCAGACCCATTTTATTCAGCATTTTTTTTATCAGGAGATTTTAGGTCTATGTTTGCTGCTGACTTGGGGGAATAACCTGAATAGTTGTCTCATGTTGAGGTGAAAGCTTGGGGGGATGATCAGTCATCTTTTTTTTCTAGATTTACACAACTTTGGGGTGAATGCTTACTGTCAATAATGGCATACATTCAACCTGTATCCACACAGCTGAAAGTTATTATTAGAGCAAAACCATACATTCCCTCACTTGGGATAAATAATTAGAAGTACAAATGGCAGTCTTGCTTCGGTTTACTGCTGGTTTTTTTTTTTTTAATGATTTGCTTAATTTTCTTTTAGTCGTCCTATATTTCAAGTCTCTTTTGCATCTTTTGACTTAACCTGGGGGGGTGGCACTTATATTAAAATGAAGAATTTCTCTGTATCATTTCTCTTGGCAAATATGAGCCCGTCAAGGAAAAAATTAGGAACAAGGTACCTTGTTTGAAACTGTCTTCTGAGAAGTGTGTACTGTAGGATAGGAAGGAGTTGACCAGTTCTCTGAAATGCATAGCAAGATTGCAAGAGATTACAGTTTCTGAGTCTTTGCCTGCCCCATATTAGTACTTCTGGGCATTGTAGCATAGATATTCCTTTTCAGCAAATAAGACCTTCTATAAATCCATTCAGGTATTAATTGTAGTATTAATTAGATTGAACCTTGTAAAATTTATGCCATTTTAGTAGGTTAGAAATGTTGAATATCGGGGACCAGCAGTTGGCATAATGGCTATGTCGCTGGATTCCCATGTAGTCGACCGCAGTTTGAGTCCCGGACCCAGTGGCTTAAAATCACACCAGGGCGTGTGTACATGCATGCCCAAGATCCTGAGAGGAGAATGGAAGAGAAGGGATTGCAGTGTGGCCATCCCCCCGGGGGGGTGATTTCTCACTTTCTGTCTCTCTGGCGAGTACATGTGCCCTCTAGCAGAAACCTCTCCTGAAAAAAAACGATGTTGAATATCAGCAATTTCTTGATTTACTACAGTGCTATGTAAGAACTATATGAAAAGTAATAATGTAATTTAAACCTTTTTTATATAAAAATGTGGAAATCCAGCGTCTATGTTATACCTAGAACATATCATATCAAGTGGGTTAAATTTATAGGCACATATTTAATGAGAGACTCCTATATTGAACAGTGTACATTCAGCCTAAATCAGACTGTTCAGCACTGAGTTCTTTAGTACTGTGCCAGCCCTCCATATACTTAACTCTCTTTGAACCAAGTATGTGACCCAACCATCAAACCTGTATGTGTAATGACGTTTACATTTCAAGCTATATCTTTAGTCCTGGATCAAGCAACTGTAATTTCTGAAATGAAGCTAAGTATAGGCTCAGAATTTACATCATTAAATGCATTAATGCATATTGCATTACATTCCCACATTGACAAATCCTTCAGTGTCTGTAGTTTGAGAAAATACAAGACTTTGGTGAGTTTAGTAGACTTATAAATCATAATAGCACCTGTACATATTTGATAAATTTATTATGTAATATCTATATCTTTGATAAATTATTATATAGTGATTGAATTTTGTTAAGCTAACCTACTATTCAGTAGTAAAACATAATATGTACAGAATTACCTAACTCTGTATTATAATGTCAGGCAGCCATAGGTTACATACTACTGTATGTATAAATGTCACTTGTGTAAATGTACATGGAAGTTAACACTTAAGGAATAGTTTGGAATGAACTAAAGTTAAAGAGGGGGTAGTAAAGAGTGCTAGTGGTGGCCTACCAGCCTTTACGTGGTGGTAAAGGCGCTGGACTTGCACTTAGTTGACCATGGTTTAAGTCCCAGACCTGGTGGCTTGAAACTGACGCTGGATGCTCGTAAGTGCATGCTTCAAATCTCAGAATAAGAATGGAGGAGAAGGAATTGCTGTATGACCATATGCCCTGGGGGGTGATTTCTTACTTTCCCTCTCATTGTCTGTCTCTCCTGCCAGCACAAATATGCAAAAAAGAAAGAGTGATAGTGGTCCCAAGAAAGTGGACTTAAGTGTTAGATAATTCATAAATTGCTTGGGAAGCAATCTGGGCCTAAATTGAATATGTCTCTACGGGGAGAAAACAAAACAAAACAAAACAAAACAGGATTGGACTATGTATCTCTTTATTCCTGATTCTAGTGAGTTTAGATTGAGTTGGGTTTAAGCAAATTAGCTTTTGTTGAGAGTTTTTTCTCCAAAAGAATTATTTATTTATTATTTTTTTATTTTATTCAACCAGAGAGAGAGAGACCGGGGAGAGAGACTGGGAGTGAGAAAGCAAGTGGCCAGGTCTGGAACTCAGACCATGATTGACCATGTGAGACTCTAGTGCCTTAACCCCCATGCTACCCGTTGGCCCTGAGTCAATTAGTTTTATAGAATAGAATCTTCAGTGAGCGAGTGCCAGCTCCTGAGCTAGACTGTGTGCCTCAACATGCTCTGTCACCAAGGCCGCCGGCACCAAAAAATGGTTCCAGAAGTTTTCCCACCCACCCCCAAAAGAATCTTTCCTGTGACCACTCATATGAAGTATAAAAATGAAACAAAAATAGGCCATTGTCCCAAAGCCATGGGTAAAGAATATGGATGACTTCATGCATAAAACAACTAAGAGCATGAATATTATGATACACATAACCTGCTTTTTTTAAGTGTGAAAAAAAATGTATTTTCCTCATGTGTAAATACATACTTCCTTACTTTAAAATATTAAAACATTCTTTTTATCCAGTTTGATAAGCTCTGTTATTCAGTTTATTAGTTTTTCTGTGTTTGGTGATATTTGTATATTTTGAAGAACTTGGGACCAGCAATGGTATAGTGGTTATATCGCTTGACTGCCACATGGCCAACGGTAGTTTTAGGCCCAGACCTGGCAGCTTGAAAATCATGCCAGACGTTTGTATGTGTGTGCCCAGGATCCTAAGAGGAGAATGGAGGTAAAGGGATTGCAGTGGGGCCAGTCCCCCTGTAGCCGGTGACTTCTCACTTCTGCTCACTATCTCTCTCTCTCTGCCTTATGGTGAAAAACTCTTGACAAAATAAACAAAAACAGAATATGGCATAGCTACTGTGTTGTTGAAATTTTTCCATCAAGTTTTGCTAGTTATTATGTTCTTGTCCATCAGTAGAACTCTTCCATGAACTCAGTAGGCTTCCAATTTAATGTAGCCATAAAATGGCTGGGTTTCTATTAGCCATTCCCTTCAGGCATCAGTATTTATAAAAGTGTGATGTTGCTCTCTGATCAGTGAGAGTGTTAATGACTGAGTGAGGAAAATATGTCAGTCTGCATTTGGATGTTGTGTCGGTACCCCTCTACATGGAGTGAGGCTGTTACTTGAAGAACATACATATTTACTATAAAAGGCCATCTGTTTTCTAGAGCTCAGTAAGAAACCTATTATTTATTCTGTGGACTGCTGTGTTTGAGTAACTTTTACAGAACTCTCTTGGCTAGAGATCTCTTAAGCAGTTTTAATGCTGGTCTGGGAGTACTTAAACACTACTTCCTGCAGGTGGACCCTCTGAAATTAGGTGAGAGTCCATTTTTATTTGGTTTTGCACCTGTTGGCTGCTCCACCCTAGTAAGAGGTGGTAAAGGAAGCTAGTATAGATAAACGGTGAGCACAACTGTACCTTGGGATGTTGGCGTCTTTGCCAGGTGAGTAACCAGGGCCAATTCAGCTGTATGTTATATTGTAAAGGAGATTCCATTTCTTAATTCACATGGATTCAGAAAATTACTAAGCTGTCAAGGATGTTTCTTTGAACATCCTTAGCTAATGTATCACTCTGTTTTTTATATTAATTGTGGTCTTATGTATGGGTAAGAGAAGTGCTATTTGGGAAATAGTTCAGTTAGAGCTTTTGGGTTGTCAGGAAAGTCATGACATATCATTGACTAGAAAAACAGAAAAATACATCAAGACTTTTCCCAAGGACCTAATATTTCATTGCTGTTAAGATATTTCTTTTTTTTTAAATTTTATTTATCTTTATCCATTTATTTATTTATTTATCTTAATTTGACCAGAGAGCAGTAGAGTTGAGAGGGGGAGAGAGAGAGGGAAAGTGAGCAAGCCGCCACTTGAACAGCGGTCAGCCCTGTGGAAGTCCAGCACCCTTAACTGCCATGCCACCTCCTGTCTCTGCTGTCATGATATTTCAGTCAACAAAATTTTAATTGAGTAATATGCAACAATTAATGTTCTCTTTTATCTGTTTTAGATCTTCATTAATTACACATTCATACCTTTGTGGGGGTAAAAGTTTCTGAGTCTTCTTAGCACAACCCTCACTACCACTGTGGTCTGAGTAGGGTGTGACTTTCAGTCTTGAAATATTTCTTGGCTCTCAACAAGATTGGCAAAGACAAGTGGGAACCAGCTTATTTGCCAAGTGAAGGATAGGAAAAAATGTATGGGAGAGTTACACTTATAATAAGGAGGATCATTTGCCTACCTCAGTAAATATATAAAAATAAAATATCATGTAAACAAGTATACCAAAGTGAAGTTGAACTCTCATATGATATTGATTACTTGTGCCATTATCTTTTTCTCTGAAATTGTTAAGTGCTAAACGGTATTGGGACTGGCGGGTGGCATGGTGGCGAAGGGTGCTGAACATGACCAACTGTGGTTTGAATCCTGGACCTGGCGACTTGCTTCCTCACTTTTCATCTCTCTCTCACGCTCTGTCCCTCTGGTCAAATCTAAAAAATAAATAAGGTTAAATTAAATAATGTTTTTTAAATGGTGTTGAAATTAGCACCTGACTGTTGATTTGCTTCCCTAGGCAAGAAATTATAGAACAGCTTCTAGCAAATATTTTCCACAAGGAGAAAAATGAATCAGCTATAGTCAGTGCAATCCAGATATTGCTGACTTTACTTGAGACACGACGACCAACGTAAGCTTTTCTTTTACCTTACAAAGTAAGCCGTATTGTTTTGCTTTTAGATCTTTTTTTTAATTACAGGTTAATTCGTGGTAGATAAGCTATAGTGCCATGCCCTTGAATTTCAGATGCTCAATCTTTTTCTACTATATATATTATAACTCAGTTTTATATGGATCCATCCATAGGAATGCAGTTGAAAACCTAGTTTGGTGTATTTATTGGCAAGATTTAGACTCTGGTTGTTAGAGTGTGGTACTTAGGAAAATGCTACTATAATAAATACTACAATAAAACATGTCACAAACATGTATAATGGGGCCAGCCCAGTAGCACAGCAGGTAAGGCACTGTGCATATGGAGCTGTATCCCATATGATGACCATAGTTTGCATGCTGGTCATGGAGGCTTGAAAAATGTGCCAGACCTGTGTGTTTGTGTGTATTTGTGTGTGTGTGTTTGTACACCAGTCTGTCCCCATAATCCTGATAGGATAGAGAAGTGGAGGAAAGATCACACCCCATTGGGAGGTGCTTTCTTTCTCTGTGTCCCCCTCCCTCTTTCTATCCCTCCCCTTATCTGCAGTAAGCAAATGGTGCCCTCTGTCCCTCTCCAGTGAGTACACATACCCTATAGCAAATTTTAAAAAAGAAAAGAAAGTTGGGAATTGAGAAGATAGCACCACCAACAGGGTCCCTGTGCCATGATCTACCAGCTTCAGCCAACCCTGGGTCATGAACACATGTGCACCCAGTGTACTCAGGTACCTGGATAGGAACCTAGAACCCTCCATGTAGGTCATCTTAGTGTGTTGTGTTTTGCCATTATACGATCATCTAGCCCCTGTCATGTTGTTTTTCATAGTTATGCTCAATGCTGATTTACTTATTTTCTGTCAGTGTTTTCTCTCCTTGTTTTTAAAGAATTATTTTATTTTTATTTAAATTTCTTTCTTACTTACTTACTTATTTACCATAGAGGAACAGAGTGAGAGAGGGAAAGTGAGAAAACAAGCGGCCAGGTCCAGGACTTGAACCACAGTCAGCCATGTTGGAGTCCAGCGCCCTTAACCACCACGCCACGTGCTGGCTCCTTTTGTCAGCATTTTCTAGCTGCTCTTGGAGCATACGAATTTGAAGAGATGTATATATATGTTTCAGGATTATCTGATTTAGAGAGTGGAAGTTTTATTTTCTCCTTCACTTTTGGATCTACCCAATAAACTAGAGAACATGAAGAAGAAGACAGAGTCTGCTCTCAGCATATAAAAAACTCAGCCATCCCAGGTTTCAGGCTTATTTTTAATGTTATAACTAGGTTTGTAGCAAAATAGTGAAAATAACCTTACAGGTCCCTGCTTCCCAAATTCCTGATCTCTGTTGCTAGATTGCTTACTCTTTGGTCAGCAATAACAAAAAGGCAGTGCTTGAAGCACTGCTTCAAGTATTCATAATTTGGGGATTGAGTTTGTAATTTGCCTATCTGTGTCTGTCCTGGTTCATTGTATTTTAAATACTGTAAGGATTAACTTCAGTTACCTATGAAATGGTGTAAGATTGTCTTGTTACTCATGCTCCCAGGCCATTGAACCCATCTTAAAGTGGTTTGAAAGCACATTAGGTGGTGCTATGAGGTTTATATGGACTACTCTGACTTGAGAAATAAAGAAATCTGAGAAAAAGCATAAATTTTTGCATATGTAAGAGGACCAAAAAAAAAAGTCTTGATTGTACAATTTAAATAGACTAGACAGAGAAAATAATTATAAAATAAATAATATAGGGAAATTTCTGACCAGAAGGAACTTGTTCTTAAATCAGAAAGGTTTACTGTATACCAACAAGCTTAAAATTTTTAAATAAGGCTCAGTTTTTAGCAACACTAAATAAATAGTGAAAAACAGAGGGCAGGGTTATGAACTTGAACATTCTTACTGGTAATGTGAGGGCAGAAGAGGCATTTCAGAGCACGTGAGAATTTAGTATTCTATCTGCTTACTGTTCCTGGGGTAAAATTACTTGGAAGAATAGGAATAAAGAACTTAGGGAAATACATTGATGAGTATTTGATGTAAATGGGTAGGGATATAAACATTACTGTGATTGTGAAATTGAAATGTTAAGAATAAATAATTGCAATAAGTTGAGTACTGAAAAACTAGAATGAGTTCCAGATTATGCTAACAAAATTTAAGAAATAAGAAAAAGGGGTAGGTTAGTACATATTGTAGGTATTATACTAGGCAGCTAAGATACATTTCTCATAGTTTCTTTTTTCATTTTTTCTCTCACTCTCTCTTTTTTTTTTTTTTAAAGAGGAGTTTTTGTAATAATATGAATGTGCTCTGAGAGACAGAGAATGGGAAATCACCCTCCAGTGGGGATGGCCCACACCATAGTCCCTTCTCCTATAGTCTCTCTTCTCGGGATTTTGGGCACTCAGTGCACACACACCCGATATGAGTTTTAAGTTGCCGGTTCCAGTACTCAAACCATGTTCAACTATGTGAGCCTCCAGCAATGCAACCATTACGCCACCTGCTGGTCCCCTTTCTTCATCTTAATACCAGTACAGTTAATGTTTTTGTTTTTTCTTTTTTAATATATAAATAGCAAAATACAGTAGGTTATGTTAACTCTCAAAGCACCTTAGACCACAAGAAGAGTAAACAAACACTGAAAGCTACAGATACAAGAATAATTTGCACACTTTCAATTCCTTCTTCATGATACACGGTAGTTATCAGGGCAAGAAATGAGAAAAACCATTGAGTTGTTGGGAAAGTCATGACACATTTTGCATGGAAAAATAAGTCACGATGACCTAATAGTTTAGGCTTCCTCAAGAGCAATAGCCTTTGGGAAGAATGGAGATACCCGTCAATGATCTTTTTCTCTAATCTAATCTTTGCTGTAACCTCTTAAGTTACCCTTAACCCTAAAAAGTGAAGACCATTCACAGTAGAATAAAACTTCTCTATCCCATGGAGAACCAGTGCTACAGGCCATTAGAGATTCCCCTGCATCCACTGGAGTAAGGATAACCAGGGAAGCTGTATCTCTAGCCACTTCAACAACCTAAGAACTAGGTTGAACCATAACAGCAGTGTTTCCGCTCACTGCATCTTCCTCCACCATACCTGCAAGCATCAAATAAAAAGAAATAATAGTACTGATGGAAGAAAGGCTAATGTGTAAAAGGAGACTTCCCCCAAGGCACAGGAACCGTTAGAGCAGACACTGAGAAAATTTGAGTAGACCAGCCCTGACCATAAGTACAAAGTAACTTGAGACAGATTTGAAGTCTTCAAAGAAGTAAGGGAAATCATTGTAACCACAAAACCCAAACCTAATTAAGCTGATGACCAGATTGGTTGAAACCCTTCAACGAAAAACCTGGCAAAAAAGACATGTCTATTCTTATATAAATACTATTTACATCAGTTTCTACTATCTTACACAGGTGTCTCTTTATCAACTAAAAAGTTTAAGACATATGAAATCAGATGCAGACTAGCAGTTGGCATAATGGTTACGTCACTGGACTCACACGTGGCCTACTGCAGTTCAAGTCCCGGACCTGAAGGCTTAACTCATGTTAGGCATGTGTGCATGCATGCCCAAAATTCTGAGAAGAGGGTAGAGGAGAAGGTATTGCAGCATGGCCATCCTCCCTGGGCATTGTTTCTTGCTTTCTGTCTCTCTGGCAAGCACATGCACCCGTTAGCAAAAATCTCTCGTAAAAAAAATTAAAATGAAAAAAAGCCTAACATTCTTAAGAGAAAATGTAGTCAATAGAAATAAACTAAAGAATGTTGAAATTATTGGGGAATTTAATATAAATATTAATTTAATATTTAAATTAAACAAAATAATTTGTTAAAGACTTACAAAAAAGTAGATGGGGAATTTTAGCAAAGAGATAGATCATGTGGAAATGCTGCAAGTGAGAAGCACAGTGGCAGAATTGAAGAATCCCTTTGTGCTTATTGGTAAGCTTTGGTATGGTTGAAGAGAAGACTGGTGTAGGATGCTAGAAATTACTCATACTGGGGCTAGCAGGTGGCATGGTGGTTAGGGTACTGGACTCCCACACGGCTGACCACAGTTTGAGGCCTAGATCTGGCAGCTGGCTTTCTCATTTTCTTCTTCTCCCTCCCTCTCCTTCTCTCTCTCTCTCTCTCTGATAACTATATCAAGTTAAAAATAAGTAAATAAAATAATTCTTAAAAAGAAATTACTCATACTGAAATATGAGGAGTAACAGGGACCAGCAGTTGGCATAATGGCTATTTTGCTGGACTCCCATGTAGTTGACTGTGGTTTGAGTCCTGGACCCAGTGGCTTAAACTCACACCAGGTGCATGTCTGTGCAGGCCCAAAATCCCAAGAGGAGAATGGAGGAGAAGGGACTGCCGCGTGGTCACACCCCCCCCCCGGGGTGATTTCTCGTTTTCTGTCTCTCTTTCTTCCTGGCGATTGCATGTGCGCCATAGCAAAAAACTCTCCGAAAAAAAAAATTATATATATATATATACACACACACACACACACACACACGTATATATATGAAGAGTTACATAAAATAATTACAGTCCAGCTTAAGGTGCAGTCGTTAGCAAACTGATGACAGTGTCAGAAGCTACATGATCCACCGTAGATTTGGATGCCTTGGTGAGCTTAGAAAGCATGCCAGGCCTGTGCATGCTCAAGATACCGATGAGCTAGAAGGAAGGGGAGTTATGGCATGATGAGACCCTATTTAGGGTGCTTCTCTCTCCTGTGTCTTTTTCTTTTTCATGCATATGCATATGCTTTCTGTATGGGTAAGATAATTTAAAAAAAAAAAAAAAAAAGACAGTTTTGGGCCATGCAGGTATCATGGTGGTTAAGGTACTAGACTCTCACATGGCTGACCATGGTTTGAGTGCCAGACCCACCGGCTTGAAAATCATGCCAGGTATGTGTGCATGCATGCCAAAATCCTGAAAGGCAAAGGGTGGAGAAAGGACT